GCTGATCTTTTTCATGTATTTCTGTGCAGACAGGTTTGGCTTTGCCTGCAAGTAAATATGCTAAAAAACCTGAATGTCAAAGCTGGGTTCTGTTGCAAACATACATGAAACTTGATCTCTGTGGTATGTTCACGTCAGTGCGGTGTTATCGTAGAGTCTTTTCCACCAAACAGGAAGTTTGACCGACTTGTCATCCAATCTGACCCACATTTCTTAGTCCCAGCCTTAAAGAGTCTTGCTAACAGCTCCACCTGCTGCTTGTAGCCTCTTCCCAGGTGAGCTTGAACACCAGGAAGTGACGGTGCACAGCCCTGAGGACTGCCAGGGTGTCAGTCATTTATTGCTGCTTTCAGCTTTATTTGTTGTTATTTTCTCCTTTTCATTGACGGATTTAGGCGTTTGTACTATTTATGAAGTTTGACAAGCCATCAGGACAAATATCCTGAACCAGAATTTAAAATTATGTTTACTGCAGAGTGCAGACAGAGGTGCGTTTGTACATTGCACCCACTGTATCTCATTTTGACTCAGTGAGTCTTGTTGCACAGAGCCTGAGTAAATCCTTGAACTAAAGAAGATTCATGAGCTCATATATTATTTAGAGACTAAAGCCATATTCGCACAGGATTAGTTTTACCTAAGGACCACGTGTAATAAATAAATTACTCCCTAACGTCTGCTTTTTATGTGGCACATTCACATGGATTAACCAAAGCCTGAGATTTAGCTGAAATTTACGGACATCTTCCGGATATGATGCTAACGCGCTGCGTTGTCCCGACCGGGCCGGTCCATGATAATGTGCGGTCCCGGACAGTCTCAGGCTTTGATGTGGTTTTATGAATCAGCACTAAAGAAAACTAAAGAACGCACAATATAAAATTGTGTTAATCTATTTGTTGAGGAGGAGGCAGGTCCGACCGGCCGGTTTAAGAGGTTAAAAAAGCCACATTAGGCTCAGATGGACAGAGCTGCGTGAAGCTGACAACTGTCACCGGCCGTGCACGTGAGCGACCACGCGTCCGTTGACCCGCTGGTTGAAATGGACTTGCAACCTGTCCAGGGTGTTCCTCGCCTCTCGCACAGTGATGGTTGGACATGCGCACCAGCAACTCCTGCTACACAAAAAGGAAGAAGTGGGTAAATATAATGGATGGATGGGTCAGTCGATCACGCACCTCCTGTCATCTGCTGTGAAGGAAGTAGCAGCATAAAAGCCGAAGCGAAAAAGAAAAATACCTCAAATAAATAAATAAATAAATAAATTTTAAAAAGCCAAGGCGAGCAGTGCGTTCATTTAAAATAGCCTTGGTCTATATTTTTCCAGATAATTTTGCTTAAATCAAAAACAAAAACGCCTCATTACGTATCGGATCCTGCACATTTCTGTCCAAATGACAGAGATGCCTATTCACATTGGATTAGCATCATCACAGGACCTCGGAGTTCAGCAAAATAATAGTAGGTAATTTGCAGGTGATCTAAAAAAGTTAAATCTGGTCCTCTGGACATTCAAAAAAAACAAAACAAAGCAAAACAACAAAAAAATGTAAAAACGTTTCGTCTCTCATCCGAGAGACTTCCTCAGTCTGAGGTGCTGTATTCAGCTCAGTCTCTTAAATAGCACCTTCTCAGAGTGGATCAACCAGTTTTGCTGCTGACAACCAAAACCAGCTGATCACATGCTCAAGAAGGACCATCAGCCTAACAATGGGTCATTAGCACACTGATGGCTGTTTACTGTTCACAGAGGGCTGAGTGATACTAGCAATCACAGCATTGTAAGAGGGGGACAATTGAACACGTAGGCCTCCACCCCTGTTTAACGATGAACGATTAGGCATTGTTAGGCTGATGGTCCTTCTTGAGCATGTGATCAGCTGGTTTTGGTTGTCAGCAGCAAAACTGGTTGATCCACTCTGAGACGGTGCTATTTAAGAGACTGAGCTGAATACAGCACCTCAGACTGAGGAAGTCTCTCGGATGAAAGACGAAACGTTTCTACATTTTTTTGTTGTTTTGCTTTGTTTTGTTTTTTTTTGAATGTCCAGAGGACCAGATTTAACTTTTTTAGATTTTTCTACCTGAATTATTGAGCATGCATCAGGATAATTTGCAGGGGAATTTTCACTTTTCAAATCACAGACATGGCCAATTCACACGGGATTAACAACTCAGACAATCTCCGTAATTATTACAAATTGCATGTGGTCCCTAGGTAAAACTAATCCCGTGCGAATAGGGCTTAAATAATTGTACCAAGTTGTGGCAGTGCTTTAAAAACGTAAGCAGCGATGGTCCTCAGCTCAGATGTCTGGTTACATCACTGATGAATGGTCCTCAGCTCAGATGTCTGGTTACATCACTGATGAAAGACAAAATGACTGACTTGATGTTTAGATGATTGTTTTGAGCGATGACTCCCACAGCCAGTTCTAAAGTAAAAAGTTTCACTTTTGTTTTCTCTGGACTACCGTTAGTAATGTGGGGTTAATGTTGTCTTGTGACAAAGTCAGAGTCAGAGTTTCTTTATTGTCATTCGCACCTCATGTGGTACATGTGGTGGAGCGAAATTATGTACACAGGGTCCCAGTTACATCCAACAATAAAATGTATAAGAAAAACAGTAATAACATCTAAGATATGAACTAAGAAAAACATCAACTAAATATACACTAAGCACTCATAACATAAAAACATTGAACATCAGCACAAACATGAACATACAAACAACATGACAAAGTGCTCAAATGCAGGAAAATGTAAAACTTGGGTGTACTTCTGCAACTTTACACAAGCCTGTTTTAGGGCTGGACAATATGGAAAAAACTTGTATCATGATATATTTCTTAATTTCAGTCGATAATGATATAATTCAATATCGATATAAACAATTGCGCTTCATCTTCTGACTCTCAGCACATTCTATCAAGTAGAAACTCTTCAGATGGAACAAACTAGATGTGTTCCCACCGTTAATTGGAACGACTCTCCAGCACATTTTGCAGCACACTTGGAAAGCTGAGCCACATCGCAGAATTAGTCTTTCCTCTCTCATCAGTTATTTCATCTGTTTTCTCTTCGCTTGTGAAATCACATTCAGTCACATTCTGACGGTCATGGGCACTCATTTTGAAGTGAAAACTTAACACATGTTGTAGATGTCCTTCGAGCTGTCGTGTATGTCACCACGCACTTAGATAGTTATCCTGATGCATGCTCAATAATCCAGGTAGAAAAATCTAAACAAGTTAAATCTGGTCCTCTGGACATTCAAAAAAAAAAAAAACAAAGCAAAACAACAACAAAATGTAGAAATGTTTCGTCTTTCATCCGAAAGACTTCCTCAGTCTGAGGAGCTGTATTCAGCTCAGTCTTATAAATAGCACCTTCTCAGAGTGGATCAACCAGTTTTGCTGGTTGTCAGCAGCAAACTGGTTGATCCACTGATTGGCTGAACAGTTTCCATGTTGTTGTTTTAATCTGCTGACCTCTAGTGGTAGCACATGAGAACTGTCTCTGTATCAGATCATCCTCAACAACAGCTTTGTAAAATGGATCAAACTTGCTCTGAGGTGTGTGACCTGTTAAAATGCAACAGATGGCAGTAAATCCTTGTGTCTGGGTTTTCTGTGCTTTCTCTCCTCAGAGCTCCTGCATCCCGTTCAGCTACTGGAAGGAGACGGTGTCTGTGCTGCTGGACTCAGACAGGACTTCTCGGTGTGCCATAGTGAGTTACATTGACGAGCCCTTTGTGGATCTGGACAGAGACCTGCTGGAGGATTGACCTCCACTCTGCGCGCTGGGGGCAGGAAGCACGGACACCCAAAGCTGGTGACGACCACTGAGCTGAAACTTTCAGGGGTTCTGTGACTGCGTTCTGGATTTAAAGACTCGTCTGTTTTCTGTTCGTACCTTCGCATGAAGGTCATCATCCCAGCTGAGAGTGGACGAGGAATTTACTCGTTGTGTTTTCACGAAGTTAAAACACTCTTTGTTTTCTTTCTGCAAGAAAGAGAAGGAAAACCTGTTTGCCCAACCTAGAAGGCATCGCAGAGAAATGAGACTTTGGAAACCTGTATTGATCGTTTGCTTAAGGCGAACGTCAGATAGAGCCTTTTATATAGCCTATACAGAAATCTATAAAAAGATGTATGATTGAACAAATATATGTAAGTAAAAGATTGTTTTCAAGTGGACTTGATTTGCCACATGACCACAGATTGACCCCAGATGTGCAGAATAGTGGTGCAGCGTGTCACCAGCCTCTGTCTTTGTACACTTCATGAGTCTGTCGTCACGCCACTGCCTGACCCGAGGGGAACCTGTGAGAGGACTCGCCGGGGCTGCGTCCTTTAACATCGTGGGTTTGTTTAATTGGGTGGCTGCTCTTGATTGGTGCTTTCTGGCTCTTCCTGGCCCGTTTGTTTAGCAGCTGACGTACACGGGTCGTGTGTCTCCAGGTGTTCCTCCTGCCTCAACCTTCATTCTGTTCTTTGCTTCAAACGCTTAACCCAGGGACTCATCTTTTCTCCAGTCATTTTCATGTTGAGAACAATGGCTTTTAGCTCTGGATGAACTGTAGAATAAAATGTTGCACAGAATATCTGTTTTTATTGTTTAATATATGTTCTTTCGTTCATTAAAGTATTTTCATCCTCTCACAGAAATCTATTTCATGTTGCGAAAGGTGCTATAGAAAAAATCAACTATGCAGGAGCTACACTTGAGACTGGTTGTTCCAGTCGAGCACTGGATTCAGTCTGTGGTGTCTCTCTTTTCACCATCTTCAACTCCTCCAGCCTGAGTGTGCTGCACGTCAGTAGAAGATCAGTCTGCATGTTCCCATACAATGAAGAAGTTCTCTGCATTTATCGCACCTGGGATATACCCAGGTGGAGCAGTGGGCAGCTATGTAAGCACCCGGGGGACAATTCGGGATTGGGTGTTCATTCTGAAGTTCACAACCATCTCCTTCGTCGTCTTCATATTGATGGGAATGTTCTTCCTGCACCAGCTCTCCAGATGTTCCACCTCCTGCCTGTAGCTGGACTCATTATTGTTTGTGATGCATCCTTCCACCACTCTTATCATCTGCAAACTTTACAATGTGACAGCCTGGATGGGTACGTGCACAGTCATGTGAGCAGAGTGGGCTCAACACACATCCCTGAGGAGAGCCAGTGCTGAGGGTTATGATGGAAGAGGAGAAGTTGTGGATCCTCACTGACTGTGGTCTGTTTGTTAAGAAGTCTAGGACCCAGTTGCAAATGGAGGAGCTTAGTCCTAGTGTGAGTAGTTTGTCCATCAGGGTTTGGGGAATCATGTTGTTTGAAGGCAGACGTGAAGTCCACAAAGCATGAGAGGTACAAACACATTTTTTAATATGGCCTTTAATCAGCTTCAAAGATATTTAGCTTTTGGTATTCATGTTCAGTTTCATTGTGGGTCTGTGTAATTTGGTTAATTTCTTATTTTGCAGTAAAGCAAATCATTTTTTTCCCCCAAAACCAGCACGGATTGGTAGAAGACACTCCAGTGAGGCTGCTTATAATCCATTCACTTTTCTCCGTGTACTCGTTTCCTCCCACAGACCCAAAGCATGCATGTTGGGTTCACTGGTAACTAAATTGTGTCTGAGAGTGAGAATGGTTTGTGACCCTGTGATGGACTGGAGACCTGTCCAGGGTGTCCCCTGCCTCTTGCTCAGGGACTGCTGGACCTGGGCACCAGTTCTCTGTGACCCAGAAAGGAGAACTGGGTAAAGAAGATGGACTTCAGTCACCCTGAGTGTTGGAGTCAGACTGCTGGGTGTTCTGTAGCAACGACCTGAATGATCTGATCTGAGCTTTTTAAAGCTCAAGTCCTGAAGGTGAGCAAAAAAACATTTTGGAGAAAATTTTATTGCTTTGTGTTTTTAGCAAATGGAAAAAAACGTGTTTTATTTTGTTGATCTTTATTCTCAAAAAGCAAATATTTTGTTCTAAGTCTCATAAAGTCAAAGAATTGTCAGACAGATTTAGAAATCAAATAATTATTTTTTGCCTGTTGGAGCTCTAAAATGGCAAGATATTTTATTTTATTGTTATATTTTGGCTTAACAGTCCGTAATGGTTACGAGTTTGATTATAGTTTACACAAAAAATAGTCGAGTGCTGCATCGTGAACACTGTTTTCTGCCTTTAACAGACGACTGGACTTTAATTAGACTCGGGATCAGCATCATCTGTTGTTGCTGCAGGAAACATCTGAAGATGATAACGTGAATAAAATGTTCATAAAATCAATACTTCATCCAACAAACTAATCATTCACCTGAACATCAAATTTTACCCAATCCTCCCTAATGACAATTTACAGGTGTGTTCTTGTGTTTTTATTACTTTTAATGAAAAGCTGAAGTCATGTTTATGATTTACAAGCTTTATTTGAGCAGATGCAGAGCTGGAGCACGTCAGTGGGTTCGACGCTCTGGCGTTGCTCTTCACGCCGCTCGGTGAGCTGAAACGCACAAAACGATGTTTATTAGCAACAAGATAACAGAGCCAGATTCAGAACCTCATGAGAGGTCACGTGGCCGAGTCCACTTCCAGCAGAGGATTACGTCCAGACGCTTCTAAAGTTAGTCCCTGTGAGGTGTGCTGCTAATTTTACTGATTTCATTCAAAGGTCACGTTCTTCCCTCCTGCAGCAGTTTTCAGGTGAACTGTTGACCCGATCCGTTCTCTGGATCCACCAAACCAACCTCCTGCTGGAGCTTCCTGCCCTTCAGTGTCAGGTTGTCTTCTTCTTTCTCCAGCTGCTCCCTGACTGGTTTCATCTGTGATGTCATAAATGTCTGCGGGCGCAGAGACGTGGAGCTCCTGCATTTAATTTGTGGTTGGGTCTCCTGGAATCAGCTGCACTTTGGAGGTCCAGGGTGTTTGAATACTCCAGGGTCTTCTTGTTGGAAGTCTTCAGTGCTCGTCCCTCTAACTTTCTCCTGAAGACTCACCAGCTGAGTCCAGGTAAACGTCCTCCATCTTGGTCTCTCTCCTGCTCAGCGTGCGGGGGACTCTGCAGGATGTGGATCCACCCTGTCTCCATGCTGACCTCTTGATGTTCCTCTCGGCAGACAGGACCTCTCCCACCTCGTGATTTCTCAGTTCCTCCATCTCACAGCTGCTTCATCATCTTAACCCTGCCAGCGTCAGCTTTAAAAACCTGGAGCAACAAAATGATCAATTATTTACTGATGAAGAATTTTATTTTTCCGTTAAGGCAGCGGTTAAAGATTTTTCTCTCTTACTGAGACAGATGAAAGAAAACAAAAGTTTCAGATGATGATGGACAAGCAATCTGACCGAAGCCTAAACCATATGGGGGGGGGGGGGGGTGATGCTTTCTTTGCTGAGAACCAAACCTGCTTCTTTAGCCCAACAACAACTTTAATGATTTTAAATGTCTTTGATGTTTTGTGGCATTTTTTTCTCGCAGCTCCTGTAGAAACTTCACCGTTGTTCCTCCGGTTCCCACATGGGTCCTCAAAACCTTCTCCACGGTTCTGTTTCAAGTTTCCTTGAAAGAAAAGCTACATTTGCTTGAAACTCCTTTTTGTTGCGTCCGTCTCTGCTGATGAGCATTCACAGTTTAGGTTACTTTCATTCAACTTGTTGATGCCAACACTTCTTTTGAGTGCTGCTAGAAGAACCCTGAACCACCGGAGGGACTGGTTTTAGGGACTTTAATGGTTCAGTTTCCACCTGAAGCTCTTTATCTTCTCCTGTTTCTGGTGGACTCGCCTTGTTTTTAAGACCTTCTTCCTTTTTTTAACTTTAAACCATGTTATCTCCAGATTATTTATGTTCTTTGTCCTTCTCGAGGAGCTCGTTGCACTCATCTCTTTTTAGAATTTGACCTCCAGCTTGATCAGTTTTGACGAGCAGGTCTTCAGTACCAGACCGTTCTGATCCGAGTATTAGATAAAAATAAATAAACTTACTGTTGGATCTGCAGAGAGAGGTCCTTGTTCTTCTGCTCCTTTAGCTCGTGGTGGGATTTGTGCAGAACGTCGTCAGCAGGAGCTTCATTCACAGCAAGTTCTCGATCCACCCAACGTTCCACCAGTTTCTCTGAAAATGACAGAAACAAAAACGGATTAAAGATAATTATTTGTATAATTTACTCATTATTTATTCTCATCTTGAATATTTGGACTCGGACCTTTGGGACAGTTTTGAAGTGTCTTCTTGTTTTCTGTTTCTCAGGAGTTCAGACTCGTCTGTTCGATCAGACGGTTTGAGGGAAAAGTCTGAAACTAAAACAACCGGAGAGATACGAACAAATAATCAAACATCTGGACTTAATCAAAGGAATGTACGAGATCTTGTGAGGTGCGCTGAGGAGGACTCTCAGCTACCACCACGTCAACTGCTCGCTCCATGTCTGTAAAACGAGTGTAACCGTTTCTGTTTGCTAAAGTCGATTAGCTGTGGCGGCCATCTTGAACTGGGTTGATTAATCAGTTGTAGACGGTTACTGCGTTTTCAAAATCTGTACTGTTGTTGGTGAGATATTTTGCTAACAGACAAACGTTAAGCACGAGCAAAAACATGATTGGCCTTTGAAAGGTGCTGACGAGATGTTTCTCCTGACGTCGTCAAACTAACATTCAGTTTCATTTCAGCTGAGAATGTTCAGTCAGGCAGGACACAGATGTGTCTCTGGGGTGTCCCCGCCTGCACACGTCTCTGCAGTCCTTGGTCTTCCTGCCCCCCCCCCCTCTTAATTAGACATGAAATCAAACATCTGATGTAGATGTGTGACAGGTCAGTGTGACGGCGTTTCACACCCTCTGAACACCAGAGGAGTTCAGAGGGTTTAGGGAGCACACATGAAGGAAGAGGTGACTGTATGATTTTTATTTATTTTTTTTGGGGGGGGGGGGGGGGGGGTTGCATTTTTGACGTGTCTCTGCTCAGGGCACCCCTCAAAGGTGTGTGTTTGTGGTTATTTAGGATCCAAAGCTCCGTCAGTCAGAAGGACAGCTTTAATCCTCCACATATCCCATCAATGTGCAGGCGCTGGGGACAAAAGGGTCCAGGGGCCCGTCGGGCCTCCAGGGAGGGGACCGGGGACTGTATTTTTAGGGAGGGTCTGAAGCAGCTGCCACTTGACACATGCCACCACCTGGCTCTGAGGACACGTCCACATTGTTGAAATGAGACGGAGCTGAGAGAACGAGCAGAGACCTGTGTGTGAGCGTCCTTATTAACCGCGGGGCCACACACACGCCTGCTGACCATACACGGGCAAGCACACGCCTCACACACGCCAAGAACATTGCCCTTGCATGCTGCTCATAGCTCCAGGCGGTGAAGGCGAAGGTGTCGAGTATCAGAGGCCGGTTGCTGAGCGTGTTCACCTGATCGGAGCAGCAACTGCTGCAGGACGTCTTCCCGGAGCAGCTCAAGGACTTTCCTCTCCACGACAACGGCAGATAAGTTTTCAGTGACTTCAAATCACCTGCTTCATTTTTATTTTTTACCTTGGGCTTGTTATCTTTAGTAAGTTCATCGTTCTGGTCTCACCAGGAGCGTCTGGTCTGCAGCAGAGCCAGGACTTTTGTCCTGACTCGTCTCATTTCATGTTTACAGAGACACACGCGCTGGGTGTTAATAAATATTAAATATTACAGGTATGTAAACATTAACTGGAAGACTGTGTGTGCCAATGATTAAGTCTGTGCATGTGTGTATTGTGATTTGAAACTAACTTAGTGTTATATTTTCTGTCTTATCTTATTACTTCATTATATATCCATTTTTGCAACTTGTCATGGGACTGCAGATGTGAATTAGCTTTTGCTATAATCTGGTGCAGTGCATCAAATGGTGACATTTGTGTTTGATTTGTACATTGTCCCTTTTTAAATAAAGTTCATTCATCATAAATATTGTACGCCATAATGTTTGTAGCTCCGGCTAAACTGCAACGCACGTCCCAGATGAGCCTTTAGCAACTTAACAAATGGGACTCAAAAGATGTGCACAGAAGAAACAAATTAATGCACACGTTTGAAGAAATTCACATTTAAATGTAATGTTCCAACCAAATCAAATGCAGACAAAATTAAAAATGCTCGTTATTTAGAACTGGCCAAAAAATTGTTTTTATTTCTTTTAAGATAAGACCTTTATTGATCCCGCAGGAAGTTGTTGATTTGGATTGAATCAAGCTAAACAGTTAATATGATCCATTAGTTATTATAATAATTATTATTAGTTATTTTTTACAACTTGCATTAAAACATGAAATTATACAGATTTTCCCAAACTCTATTTAATAAGGACACCTCTAAATTGTCCCTATGTGTGAGTGAATGATTGTCTCATTTGTCTCTGTGTCCCTGTGATGGACTGGAGACATGTCCAGGATGTACCCCTCGCACATCGATTGTTGGACATGGGCACCGACGACCCCCGTGACTCAAAATGGAAGAAGTGGGTAAAAGATAATGGATGGATGGAAATAGATATGAAATTAAAAATATATTAAAAAACAAAATAAATTTTTGCCTTTTTCAAAATAAATCCAGTTATGTCCAGAAGATGTTGCATGTGCTGCGATGCACAGACTGTTCTGTTTCTTCTGAGTAATTCAGTGTAAAAACTCATCAGCATCGTTAAATACTTTATAGAAGTACTGAACTGGTGTTACTGGTTCTCACCATCATGGGGCAGATCTGGTTCTGGTCAGCGTGCAGGTTAGGAGGATGGAGGTTCAGGAGGTGGAGGCTGAAACCACCTGAAGGGTCCATGAGCTCAGTTCTTGTCGTTTACCTCCTCCTTCCTGCAGGAAGAAACAAACGCCACAAATAGAAACTGATGGAAAAACAAACTGTTTTAGTTTGAAGTCCTCGTGTGAAGCTTTCCTCTCGCTGGTTTTGGGTCAACATGGAGAACCCTCGATGTGGAGCAGGAAGAAGGCAGCACAGACTTAAAGTGATGTTCATGTGATCATTGCCCTAAACATCACTGCAAGTCTTAACTGTCTCCGTCCCATCGGTCCAACGCCACGTCTCCAACACGGTTCAAAACACTGGAAGGTTCTGTTACAACAGAAATGGCTCTGGGCTCACCTGGGCCCGTGGTCCAAAAGAAGGATCTTTACTGCTCCACGGTCAGTCCTGGTCCTGGACACTCAGTGTCCTCTCTGTTGTCTTCCTCCTGGTCCATACTGAAGACAGAACATGGTAAAAGTTTGGTCTTTGCTTGAAGCTGCAGCAAACACAGACAGAGCCGTCCTGCTGGTTCTTCAGGGTCACACGCAGCGCATGTCAAGCCTTACGAATGAAACAGAAACCTGTCTGATCATTGTTTAGAGAAAACTCGTCTTTATATCGAGGAGGATTTGTCAGATCAGTGGAACTGGATTCATTCCTGAATTACTCGACGAGGCCTTCAGGTGCTCTGAACACGATGGGACTGAGGTCAGTGCCAACAGCAAGACACACAAAGATCTCAACAAATATGCTCTAGTGCAGTGGTTCTCCAACTGGGGTCCCAGGACCCCCGGAGGTCCGCAAAAAAAAAAAAAAAAACGTCTGTTTGTCTGTCTTTCTGTACACACGCACACACACACACACACACATATACATATATATATATACATATATACATATATACATATATACATATATACATATATATATATATATATATAGATATATATATATAGATATAGATATATATATATATATATCTATATATATATAGATATATATATAGATATATATATATATATATAGATATATATATTTAATTAATTACAATTTCTTTACAAGCACATAGATGTTTAACAACCTGTTAAAATACAGCAAAATGCAGGAAATCTCATGTACTTTATTCACAATTTTCTGGGGGAGGACCCCCATTCTCCCCCGCCACCGGTCCACCCACCATTTGCGTTCCAGCATCAATTGGTTTATAAATGAAGCTGTTACTTGGTCTGACTCCTGCTGTTCTGATTCTGTTCAGTTTGATGTAAAGAGTTTTCTGTAAGACTGTGAAGTGGTGATATATTTATTATGTTCATTATGTGAACAGGTAAAGTTTTAAAGTGGTTTTTGATTCTGTTAAATTTTCTCAAAACTGTAATTTTTGGAAGTTGAAATTAAAATTTTGTCAATTAAGTGTGTCTTGAATGAAAAACAGTCCATGCTTAAAAGTATAAAAATTGTACTAACACCATTAAAAACAGGTCTTAAGTATTTATGTTACACAAATATTTCCATTGCATTAAAGAGACAAACTGAAGACAATTATTTAATAAACATGAGGTTATGAAGGTGTTCCTGAGCCCAAACAGTCTGAGAACCTCTAATGTTCGTTTGACAATAAAAAAAGAAATGTCACATTCTGAGCTGCTTTAATCCCTGAAACATTATCAGGACACACGGACGGAACCGCTTGGATTAAATCCCAGCTCTAAGTAAAGAGTTGCTGTATTTCATCTCCTGGAAAAAAAGAAATAACTTTTAAGTCATCGACTGCATCAGCTGCTGATATTTCTCAACAAAATGAGCCTTTTCTATAGTTTGGCTTCATTTTTGCAGCAAAGAATTGGAGATATAATAAATAGGGGTGCACTGATTGCAGTTTTCTGGCCGATCACCGATTTCTAATAAGTCTGACCTGCCAATACCGATTTTGGCCGATACTGATTTTGTTTTATAAGCGACACTGTCAGGTGCTATAAGGTCACAATGCACCTTCAATTTTCCAATATTATTTTATTGAAAAACATACCCTTGAACAATATTCTAGAAAAAATACAAACTTGTTTTAACTGGCCATGAGGTAGTGCTCTGAAATATAAATGAAGTTCAGACAATTGTTAAAACAAACAAACAATAAAAATCAATTTCTCATGCAAGTATCGGCCGATTTCCCAAAATTAAGGAAATCGGTGCCGATAAACCGGCCGGCCGATTTATCAGTGCACCCCTAATAATAAATGTTCAATGTGTTTTCTCTGCAAATGCTTGAACCAAATATTTAGTTCTCTGTTTAAACTGTCTTTAAATAATTCACAGCTCAGAAAACTAAACAGGAATTTTAGATTTATTTCATATTTTTAAGTATCTTGAAGTGCTAGTGAAAATTAATAAAAGATTAGCAAAAAAAAAGCCTAAAATGATTAATAATATTAATAGAAATAATTTTAAACTTTGAGTGTTTTAATTCGTCCTTGCTGAGAGGCAGGACTCTGCTTCAAAGACAAGAGGACCGTGTGAGTGTTGCATCATAAAAAGCTTTCAAAAACAAAAAGAGCAATAAAAGTCTGTGTGCAGTTTGAAGCTGGGTGTTAAAGTTGTGCTAAAACACATTAATAAATATAATAATCCCCCTTGTTTTATTCCACCATGAGGAATTATAACTGCAGGAAAACAGAGAGCGAGAAAAAAAGAGCACTGAATAATATAAAAAATAAAAATAAAAAAGTGGAAACTAAAAACCGTTGTGCAGTTAAAATACAGCATGAAAAAAAAAACTGAGCAGACATAAAATTATGACAGAGCAGATTATGTACGGGCTTGGATGAAAAAAAATTAAGACAAAACACGCAATAAAAATATCTTGAAAACAGGATCTGGAAAAGAAATGTAGTCCTGCAGCCATTTCCCAAAGGAGCTGCTGCAAAATAAAAGACTAAATAATATTTTTACTTTTGGTCATTTTGAAGCTCCAGATTCTCTGAATGTGTCAAAAATAAAAGGAGCAGCAACAATAGTAATGTTTTTAAAGAGTTTCACTGTGTGTCATAAAAAATGTTTGAGTAAAGAAAATATTCATTATCAGAAGTATTTGTACTCACTTCGAGGAGACACCTCAGTTCCTCTGGGGTGCTTCTTTCAACTGGTCCAGAGGATCTGAGGAGACATCAGACCATCCTGCAGGTGGACATGACTCCAGCTCACAGCTCAGCTCTGTCATTTCATCCGGCCTCTGAAGGAAACATGGACACACTGGGGGTGGGGGGTATTACCACCTGGACACACTCACAGAAACCATGCGGACACCGTCAGAGATGCTGCCCTGAACAGAGCTGGATGTCAGAGTCGTCCGCTGCTGGTTCTGGAGACGGAGCGCAGACAGAAACCAGATCAAAGTCAGCTCTGATGGTTCATAAAGTTTAAATGAACACTCACCATTTCATTTCTGGTCCCATGGAAATCTTCTGTTTCAGTAAAGAGACAGGTTTGATTCTCACCTAAGAAAATATCAAAATCCTCCTTAATCCCAAATAATGTCAGATATTTAGGATAAATTAACAGATATAGTTATTAGGAACATTTTGATCATATCCGTTAAAAAATATTCAATGATCTGCATAAAACAAGTGATTTACATTCAACAGCAATTATTTGTTTACAAGTTTATATTACTTACAATAATTCTTAATTGTATTAAAGAAATATTACTGTATGCTGATGGTTTATAATTTCATATAATTCTGGAGTCTTATAATGTAATTTCACTTCTTAACAGTTTTCAGAGTTAATTTCAGGTTTTCAACATCATCATTTTATTCTCACTGAAAGCTTCACTGGGAGGTTAGAGATCAAATTAATGCAAGTTCAAGATAATATCTAAGTCTTATAATTTTACACAACAATCTGAACACTGCTCCGTTTCAGGCCTACCGTGGAAAAGGAGCGCGCGCCTCCCGCCGCTCCAGCTCAGCCGTGCGTAAAAGCGGCGCAGCTTCTCCAAACTCCTCCAGGTCAAAGCGCAACATGGCGGCAGCTGCTGTCCGTCCCGGAGGCCTGGTGTCGCCGCGGAGTTGAGACATTTTGTTGGTAAGAAAACAGATCATCCAGGTGGTTTAATCTCTGAGAAGCTTTTTGGTACTTTGGATAAAAAGTGGCGGTGAGAAAGAAGATCTCTGGTCTTGAAGCGCGCGGGTCAACCACCTCCAATGGAAGAGCAGCACAGCAGCCTCAGCTAAAATCAACCTCTAACAGCTGGGGCCGGAACAAAGAGTGTTTGAAGCTCAGCCACCCGGTGCGTAAAACCAGGCAGCGCGCGCTGCCGGCTGCCCTCAGCACGGACTCGAACCAAATGACACCTCCTGAGATGAGGCCTGCTTTATAGCCCGATCCTCAAGGTCACGATCAGCGGACATTTGTCCCTCATTAGCATATGCCACCTCCTCTGCAGCTCATTGGTGCGCAGCGCCTGTCTCAATTGACACAAAAGGAAAGCTACGTTTTTGTCATAGCGCTAAACTCCAGCCGGCTATTTTTGTATCCCAGTTATTTTATGCACTGTACACACTGTGAGGGGACAGGACGAGCATCTCATGAGTGGGACTTCTGGCATCACTGCCTTTGTGTCCTCTCCAAAACACAACAGCTGGGTTTAAAACAGATGCAGCACCAGTTACACCCAGTGTCTCAAGGCGCAGTTAAAACCATTTGGCACCACTCCCACCTGTAGCCAGAACCTCCTGAACCAACATGGTGGCCTCAGGGCCAGAGCCTGGTTTGTGTTGGTGAATGCTGCTGGGATGTTGGTCTTTGTGTGTGGCCGCGGACGATGCAACCTTAGAGGAGATTATTTCAGGAGCTGTGTGGCATTAAACACGCTACTATAAATACACCACATTTTATTATTAGAGAGAAACATGGCGCTGCCGCACAATGAGGGGGACTTAAGAACCTGCAGCAACTCCAAGAATATGGAATATTAGAATTTTTTTATTTATTTATGATTACAGTATTATGCCTCATGCAAAAGTGAAGATTGACTCAAGATTCAAGATGGCTGTCACAGTCAACTAACTGCAAAACCACAAAAATGTCTCCAACTCAGTCAACTAGACAGAAAATTAGTTAAAAGTTGTGGAAACTGTGTCTGTAAAAAAAAACAAAAAAACTGTGAAAATACTGCTGGACCAATTAAACTTTCAGGAAATAATCTGAATACCTCGAAGTCAAATTATTCAACATGGCTGTCACGACTAAATGGCCAAAAGAAACAGAACACCAGTAACATCCAATAATCTGAGTCAGTGGTTGTTAAAGCTGCATGAGGTCAGGACTCCTTCGTGGATTTTAAATGACCAAGGGGGGGGGGGGGGGGGGGAGAGTCCTGAGAAGTTCTACTGAAATCAAATTAACTTAAAAAATGAGAGCATATATAAAAATATTTTTTAATGTTGTCATCAATAGATAAAGATATATAATGATTGATAGATAAATATACTTAATGATTGATAGAAAAATATATATAATGATTGATAGATGAATATATATAATGATTGATAAATAAAGATATATAGATAGATAGATAGATAAATATATATAATGATTGATAGATAAAGATATATAATGATTGATAGATAAATATATATAATGATTGATAGATAAAGATATATAATGATTGATAGATAAAGATATATATTGATTGATAGATAAAGATATATAATGATTTATAGAAAAAGATATATAACGATTGATAGATAAAATATATAACGATTGATAGATAAAGATAGATAACGATTGATAGATAAA